TGGGAGAGAATCCAAGTGCATTGCTTGAGTGATTGCATCTAGAGGCACTTGGTGATTGTGTTTTCTTCATGGATTTCGCTTGTTACTCTTGGTGGTTGCCGCCATCTAGACGGCTTGGAGCAGCAAGGATCGTTGAGTGGAGGAGGTGATTGTCTCCGACTCCGATCGTGGTGATTGTGAGGGGTTCTTGACCTTTCCCCGGCGGAGCGCCAAAAGGTACTCTAGTAAATTGCTTGTGGCTTGTGTGATCCTCATCTTGTGTTGGTTGTGCGGCACCCTATTGAGGGTTTGGCGAGTGATGCCAATCAGCGCGTGAACCTCCAAGTGAGTGAATCGCCACAACGAGGACTAGCTTGCCGGCAAGCAAGTGAACCTCGGTAAAAATCATTGTGTTCATCATTTGATTCCGAGGTGATTGGTCTACATTGGTATTCATTATTGTGATTGATTGGTTCCTACCACTACACGGCGGTATAACTCTCTTGCTCACTCTTACATTACATAAACTAGTTATCAAGCTCTTTAGTGTAGCTAGTTGTGAGAGCTTGTTTGTTTGATTAGTGTTGCTCTTTAGTTAGTCTTTGAGAGCACACTAATTTAGCTAAGTGCCATAGCTATTGTGTGGACATACACTATTGAAATAGAATTGTGGTAGGTGGCTTGCATTTTAGTAGGCTAGCGCAACACTCGCTTCACCCATAAAATTGTCTAACACATTTTGTTAAGTGTTGTTGTAGAATTTTATTAGGCTATTCACCCCCCTCTAGCCATTAGGACCTTTCATCCGCGCAGTACGTAGCAAACTCCACCGAAGTGAATTCGCCACCCCGATCAGTCCTCAGTACATGGAGCTTCTTGTCGCTCTCGGCCTCCGCGTGCGTCTTGAACTTCTTGATCGCCATCGCCGCTTCGTCCTTGCTTGTCAGGAGTTGCAGCCACATGTAGCGACTACAATCGTCCACGAGTAGGAGGAAGTACCACCGACCACCGCATGTAGCAGGCGTGATCGGCCCGCAGAGGTCGCCGTGAACTAGCTCGAGAGCTTCCTTCGCGCGATACTTGGCCGCCTTTGGGAAAGGTAGTCTCCTCTCGCTTCCGGCCCGCAGCGGTACATCACACGATTCGCCTCCGTGTTTGATGTGGGGTAGCCCTCGGACCATCTTCCCGACCGACCAAGCGGCGTCGAAGTCGAGATGTCCGAACCGGGCATGCCACATCCACGGTTCTCTGAGTGCCTTGCCGCCCGAGCAAACCGGCTGCTCTACCTTTGGTCGGCAGGTACAACCGGTTTAGGGACCTCTTCACCTTGGCGAAGTCATCGCTCCCGGTCTACGATCCTTAGAACGTCGTCCTTGATCAGAACCTTGCTACTGCGCTCATCCAGCTGACCAATGCTGATGATGCTGGAACGCAGCTGCGGGATGTAGTATACATCCGTTAGCGTGCGGTGCTCCCCATTCTGGCATCTAAAGATGATGGTGCCGCGCTCTTGGATAGCCACCCTTGAGCCGTCACCAAACTTCACCGCATCGGTAACATCGCCGTCGAGCTCGGAAAAGAGTCCTTGAGCCCGTCATGTGGTTCTCGCACCACGAGTCCGATACCACCGCTGCTCCTGGTCGGCGCCACATGCCCAAGATGGACTTGGGCGCGTGGTTCGTCGAGGTTGACGGTCTTCGGGCCTTGCTAGATCCTTCCACCGTCGTCGCCTCTCTTCCTCTCCATGGCCTCGGCGTCGTGCAAAGGTCTGCGAACGTCGCCATAAGGATAGTAGCCTCATCCTCATCATCGGCTTTTCGCCGGTGAGCTCGAGCCTTCTTTTCCTTCTTGCAATTTGGGCACTCCCGTGCCCAATGGCCCATCTTCCCGCAACACCGACAGGCGTTGGAGTCGATTTGCTTCTTCACCCAAGAAGCCCTGCCGCGATGTTTGCCGTTGCCACCACGACTGGAGGAGGCTCCCTTCCCGAAGTTTCACCGAGCAGCCCACTCCTCTTCCGTCAGCAGGAGTTTTCCGCCGTTCTTTGTCGCTTTGCTCTAGGCGCTCGTCCACCGCCCGTAGACGGCCTGCCACATCCTCAATGGTGAGGGTGGACAAGTCCAGCATCGTCTCTATGGATAGAGCGATCGGGATGTACTTTGCTGGCACGGAGTGGAGGAACTTGGAGACCGCCTCCTCTTCGTCGATGGTGACGCCATGGCTCTTGACTGGCGATGGCGTCTGCGGCGGAGGAGAAGTCCTCCACCATTTCACCATCCTTGAACTTGAGGTTTGCGTACTTCGCTTGAAAAGCTGGGCCGTTGCCTTCTTTTTTGCGCTGGTCGGAACCGACGCCGCGATCGCCGTAATGGCCTCCACGCCTCCTTAAGCTGAGCTCTTCGTCCCCAACGGTTCCACAGCCTCTCGCAGACAAAGCAGTGGCAAGGATAGCCTCCATCACGACATGTCGTCTTCTTCCACGTCGGTGCCCTTGTTAATGACATTCCCGAGCCGACGGGCTCGAAGCTTGACCTTCATGGTCACCGACCACTCTCCATAGTTAGTGCGAGTCGGCGTCGGCCAAGTGGTGCGGCTGACCTCTCGCTGCGGCGAACAACTACCTCCGGTAGTGGTTGGGCAGCCCACGGCGGTGCCGCTAACGCCATCGCCCAACTCCGAACCGCTGTCGCCGCCATCGGTTAGAATGGCGAGCGGCGCTTATGTACGGCTCGATACCACTTGTTGGTCCACAGTTAGCCTCCCGACCACCGAGATGATCTTGAGACCACTACGAGATAGCCTCCGGACCACCGACCCGCGGCGTCCGACCACTACACGATAGCCTCGGACCACCGAGATAGCCTCCAGACCACTCCGTTGGTCTCACGGGGATCACCGGCTCACGACGGTGAACCACTCTAGCCGATCTTGCGAACACCGACTCGGTAGTGGATCACTTGTCGGTCTCGCCGAGCACGCAGCGCTAGTGTTGCCGAGCACCCACCAGCCGTCGTGCGAGACCACGCACCGCGGCGTTGTCCGTACCCACACACTACGGATCGAGCTAGAAGAGAAGGGAGAAGCGAGCAAACACGAGCGATACAAGGCACGCAGCGTTGGCGAAGCCATGTCGTGTGATGGCAAATCTGAGGCTCTCTTTCTCGAGTTGTCATACATGTCTATTTATACAACTCTAACTATCTAGTCCATGTACGCCCATCATGCCGGCATAAATAACTAGATAACTTTGGTGGTGACTCTGCTTGCGGCCACTTGCACTGTTCTTCTGATCTTTGCTGCAGGTGAGCGTCTGCGGCGCTCTGCACTGCAGCTGGCTCATTGTATCCTGACAAAGGGGGGCAAAGTCGACGCCGCCTTCCTTGTTGTGTTCACACACAGCGACTACTAAAGGCGCCGCCTTCTCTCTGCTGTGTTCTCACAAGGTGACAGTAGATTAGCTAACATTTGGATCTCTAGCACATTTTCTCGTACCCCAGGCTAGCCAATTTGGCTCTCTCACCCTAGCAAGGTAAGGCTAGCCTGGCCTGGCAAGGTGAGATGAGACAAGCAAAGGAACCAAACTGACTCTTCATCGTTTGAATTGTCATCTATTTATTCATTGATGCAACTATAGAGACATCTAGTCATAGCACTAGGGCGCAGAGGTAAAATGCAAACGTAACCGATGTGAAGATCTGCCGGATCAGTCTTAAAGTTAACAATAAATTAAAAGCTAGAATCATAGAATCTACATGGATAAAATCCTAGCTCCACATCTCTCCACTTCCTTTGAGGCCATATCTAATGGCACCGCCACTGTTGATGCCGTGTGTCACGAGCTGTGCGAGCCTCTACTTTCATATGCTCTTCAAATGTGTGTTTTGGTGAGAAGATCGTCGCAAATAGAACAAAGAAATAAGCCTTTAAAACAGAGAAAGGGCTCGAGAACTAAAAAACACAAAACAAAATGAGAACACAGCACGATCGAGCCCATTTTGATACTCCAGGCCTGTCTGACCCCCTTGACGAGTAGAACCCGGGCCACAAGCCCACAAACTGCAGGCCATCCTGGTCGGAGTCTGGCCCATTACTCAATCATCAGTACGTACTAGCTGCAGAAGGCACAAGGCAGAATGGTCGTCGACCGCCGTACTGCACAAGCTAGCGTGCATGGGGTGGCGGTGGCAGTGGCACGTCTCCCAGACTTCAGTTGTTGCATCTGCGTTGCACCGTGGCGGCATGGCACAAGCTAGCGTGCATGGGACGGCGTGGCGCTCAGCCGCTCACAACTCACACATGCCCGCGCGCTCGGACTCCAGTGGCATGCATCCATGTCTGCGCAGCAGTCAGAAGAGTGTACGTAGTAGACGGCGTCAGTACGCCACCTCGCCGGCCACACGGTGCCGACCTGACAGGGGCGCACGGGAACGTGGCATGCCGGCGCGACGGCACGAGCGCGCCCCCGCGCCATGCGTCGCGCGCGCGCCGAGCCCCGCTCGCCTTCTATAAGCAGCGCCGCGCGGGTGGTCTCGCTTCTGGTATGTGGCGAATTGGATCGCGGATCGGATGGAGAGCTATAGTCAGCTAGCACTTGGAGAGTGGAACGCCCCCGAGACCGACCATGGGAGAAGCGTGCAGAGACGCGGCGCCGGCGGGCCGGCAGCTGCGGCAGGACGAAGCGGGCGGCGGCGGCGGATGGCGTCACGCGGAGACTGAGCTCATCGGCAACCCGACCCACGACCCGGCCGTCTCGGCGAAGCTGTACGAGGACGTGCCGGCGATGCCGATGATGGCGCTCAACCACATCTCCCGCCTGTGCGAGTACGTCGATGCCTCCGTCCGGTTCTACGTCAAGGCGCTCGGATTCGTGCTCATCCACCGCCCGCCCGCGCTCGACTTCTCCGGCGCATGGTGTGTACGGACCATATATATACTTCGCTTCTCCCGCGGGCCGCCGACTTGTCCGAACGGAGCAGACATACCGCCGCGCATGCGGTGGCATCTCCTGCTGTTGGTTGCAGGCTCTTCAACTACGGCGTGGGAATCCACCTCTTGCAGCGCGACGACGCGCGGAGGGCTCCCGACGTGAAGCCCGGCGGCGAGACGGAGCTGGACCCCATGGACAACCACGTGTCGTTCTAGTGCGAGGACATGGGAGCCATGGAGCGGAGGCTCCGGGAGATGCGCATCCGGTACATGAAGCGGACCATCAACGAGGAGGAAGGGTCGCCCATCGACGAACTCTTCTTCAGGGACCCCGACGGCTTCATTATCGAGATCTGCAACTGCGAGAACCTCGAGCTCGTCCCCGCCGGCGCGCTCGGCCGCCTCAGGCTGCCCCGCGACCGCCGCAACCCGCCCGTGCGCATGGTCGCCGGCGGCGACGAGTAGGGGCCGGGCGTGCGCGCCCGCGTGACCTACCAGGCCAGCAGCCCAACCAAGTTAGTTTGTGGCTAGTAGACTCGCCATAGGCCCGTAGCGGGCGCTTATGCTGGATTCTGGGCCATGTTTCGCGCCGAGAGTTCAAGTTTTTAGATTCGTATATATATCTATATATATTTATAATACCTAATTTTTATATTAAAAATGCAAAATTTCTCTCTACACATTTTTTTTGTCCGACTCTTCTCTAACTAATTACCTTAATAAGGAAACTGTCTCCGTTTGCAATCCTAATCAAATAGATTTCTCCGGTTTCAATTTCTTGTGTCGGCAAACAACAATGCCCTGGCTGTACGTGGACCATGGATAGGTAATGGTGTTGGCGTCCGTTTCGGTTTTTGCCCTCCACGTACATCACTTTCCTTTCGAAATACTTCTATTTTTGTATTTTTTCATAAATATAAATATCATAATAAATGATAAATATAATAATTACCATCGATAGGAAGTGGTGTTGGCGTCCGTTTAGGTTTTTCCCTCCACGTACATATTAAGAAACGATAAATATAATAATTATGGATCTTTATTTTTATTTTTTCATAAATATAAATATAAATATCATAATAAATGATAAATATAATAATTAGGATCTTTGTGCCCTCGACTCATTTCTGAAGAAGTAGAGGTTTTCACCATCAAGTTTTTACTGTAATTTTGATTAGAAATAAAATATATTTTATTATAACTTACCGAGGAGCAAATATTTTTGTTCTTAGCATTGCGAGAAAAAAAGTTTATTAGGACCTTATTTTAATTTGAAACAAGCTTAATTATATATTGTCATATTATTGCCAACATTTGCTTATATTTTGGAGGACGTCATAGAATAAATTATAGCTCTCAAATTTTATAAAATGGAAAAAACATATAAATAGGTATATAATATTTTTTTCTCCCGTTGCAACGCACGATCACGTTGCTAGTCTGTACTAGTTCGGTTTTGCTTTTGTTATCATGAGACTAGTAACTAGGAACAAAGCAGGTTTAGGGCATGTTTTGTTACCCCACTTTAGTTACTAAACTGCTAAATACACCGACTAAAAAGAGACTAAAGTAGTTTAGTCACATTAGTCACCCAAGAGTAGCTAAAAGTGGGCTAAAGTGCCCAGTAGACAAGGGCAGTCTCTTATTATTGCTAGTCCCCCACTCTTATTTGGGCATTTATTAGATGTAGTTTGATCTTTGTTGAACTGCTTTAATAGTCTTTAGTTACTTTTAGTCACAGGACCAAATATAAGTGATTAAAATTTAGTTACTAGTTTTAGTAGCTAAATTTTAGTTAAGGAGAACCAAACAGACCCTAGTACGTGCGTCTGGGTCACTGGGAGGCTGCGATCTAGACAGCCCCGTATAACCGCCGACAGAATCAGGTAACACGATTTTATACGAGGTGATGGTTTTTTTATCGAGAAGAAATGATCATCGAGGTGAAACCGAGGGTTGCCAGCAAATTGCACTGCATCCATGGGAATAGGGGAAAAAAAGGAAAGGTGGAATTTATGGGAGTAGGAAAAAAAAGAAATGTAGATTTATTTGGATTTGGGGACTGAAACTCTAAATATGAAAAAATGGATCTACACCAATATTTTGATTAGTCTTGAATCCTTCTTTAAAAAGTAAAACTACTTTGATCCTTAAACTATATCGATTCTTAAAATAGATACGATCTGCAGTAGAGATCCTCTGATCATGCTTTTTGATTTCTCATAATCAATCCTTCTTTTCAGTTAGTGCCACATTGAGCAACACTATACGGTACTGCAGTCAGCTCAATTTCGGATGGATAAACCTAAATTGTGGGGTATGAATTCTCGGTCACTTGGGAAACTTTTATTTGGTTGATTGATTAATTGATTCTTCATTTCTTCTTGTGGGACCAGAGTCCAGTTAACGGAGCAGGGCTGGGCCCAATTCGCGTTTTCTGCTATAGGTTTTGCCCCTTCTCTTCCTCTCTGCGCCGGCGCCACCAATGGCAACCAGGGGAGGACGCGGTGGCAGGGGAGGACAACCGGGCGAGCCCGGACAACTGGGCCTAGGCCAGGGCGGTGGCCCGGCGGCCTCGGCGGATCCATGTTCGGCCCTCACACGACGACGGCGGCACTGGCGGCAGGGGAGGCCGCGGCGGCAACGGCGGCCTAGGAGGCAACGGAGGTCGCGGCGGCGACGGAGATCAAGGCGGACCTGGCCAATGGGGCGGGGCGGGGCGGGGACGCCGGGTGGAGCAGTCCCCCGTTGTGAACAGCGCCCTCGTCGCTGCAGCGGCGTAAACGCGTGGTGGGCCGAGCGGAGGCTATCTGCATAGGCAGGAGGAGGAGGAGCAGCTTGACCAGATACGAAGATCTGTTCGGTGTGATCTAGTAGAATTGTCGATGTCGTGGTCAACGAGTTTTAGCTCGTTTATTTGTGCCATGGTTTATTTTTCTCGAAGCATCATCTTGAAAGTAAAAATTACGGTGATTTAGATTCATGCCATTATAATTTTCGATGTTCGGAGAAACGCTATTACTATTCGCCTATTTTCAAGCATGCCATTATAATTTTTTGTTTCCCACAAATATGCCATAGAATACGTATGGACACAGCCTGGTCCCAGCTGCAGGCGTGTACGAAGACGTATACTTCATTGCAGCCTCTCTCCCCTGAAACTGATACGCGGGCTCCACGTGTCATCTTCTTCTTCCTTCTCTCCTCAACTTCCCTTGCTGAGCACGTTGATGGTGACGGCGAGAAGCAGCAGCAGCACGTGGGTGAGCGGAGCTCACGGCCTGGGCGGCGCGCGGAGGACGCGGCGCAAAGAGCTCGCGGCCGGCACGGAGCGGGCGAACTAGGCGGCGCACAGAGCACGTGGCCGGGCTCACGAGCGTGAGGGCGAGCTGCTGCAGCGGGCGTCCGAGCGCACGAGCGGGAGCGGGGGCGCCGGTGGCGAGGCGCGAGCGGCCGCGGGCCATGTCTGCCGGCGTCTGGGAGAGGCCAGGCCGGAGCTCCCGCCAGCCATGGCGTCGGTGCGGGAGGCCGAGCTCATGAGCGTGAGGGAGAGCTGCTGCAACGGGTGTCCGAGCTTGCGAGCGGGAGCAACGGCACCGGCGGAGAGGCGCGAGCGGCCATGAGCCATGGTTGCCGGCGTCGAGGAGAGGCCTAGCCGGAGTTCCCTCCGGCCATGGCATCGCGGGAGAAGGAGCGTGAGTAGGAGCAGGCTTGTGAGCAGGAGCGGCGGCGCCGGCAGCTAGGCACGAGGGGCCACGGGCCATGGCGTCGGTGTGGGAGCCTGGGCTCGCGAGCACGAGTGGCTACTGCAGGCGGGTGGGCTCGCGAGCAGGAGTGGCACGCCGGCATCGAGGCGCGAGCCGCCCAGGCCACGAGCTCCGCTTGGCCGCGTGTTGCTGCTGCTGCTTGGCCGTGTGCTGCTGCTGCTCGCCATCGCCATCGACACACTCAGCAAGGGAAGATGAGGAGAGGAGGAAGAAGATGACATGTGCGGCCCGCGTGTCAGTGACAGGGAAGAGAGGCTGCGATGAAGTATACGTTTTAGTATACGCCTGCAGCTAGGCTCAGGCCGTGTACATACGTATTCTATAACATATTTGTGGGAAATGAAGAATTGTAATAACATGCTTCAAAATAGATAAATAGTAATGGTGTTTCTCCAAATATCGAAAATTATAATGATATGAATGCAAATAACCCTAAAAATTATGTTGGACGAACACATCTGACAAACAAAGTTCAGCAGGGGGTTTAACTTGTTGATCGCCTGCGCCTGAGCTACTACTGTTGTGCGCAAAATAATGTGAGATGGCCCTAGAGGCTGATGGTGCCCCCGGAACAAGATCGTCTGACAAACGTCGGACGGAAGTGCGTCCGTTCCCAAATCCAACGCTAGCTCCTTCGCAACACATTGAAAGGCAGGATTTTAGCTATTGCGGCGGCCACGTATGCAGGCTTCCATCAGGGACGCGATCCACGGGAGGTCGCAACAGGATCGTCGCCGCGGATGCGAGCCGCACAGGGTCATCCCGCCACAGATTGGCACGTCTCCGAGCACGACCAGCAGCAGGCCCAGATGCTTCGCAACCTCAGCCACCGACCCAATTTCAAATGCTAAATTGATTGTTCAATGCGCATGACCAGCGTCAGTTGGATAATGAGACTAAAATTTGCTTTAGATGCGGTAGGCTCGGAGTGTTGCGGGTGGAGGTTCGGCCTACTGGCCTAGTCTCACCAACATCGCGCCCTTTGTTGGTGCATGGCGGCACTGCGGCGCTCAGTCTCACTTGTCCATCATCTCTCCCATCATCTCCTAGAAACTCGTGAGCTGCTTGGAGAGCTTGTCCACCTTGGAGTCCACCCCCATCAATAGAGGTCGCCATCTTCTGTTGAAACTAGAAAATCTTGGGCGCCAGTTCGTCAAGAACCGAGAAACAAAAATTTGTCCCCGATGCAACTCGGCTCTGGATACCAATTGAAACAAACTCTGGTAACTGGGGTTGCTGGATAACCGATCAAATCCGATACAAGAATGGATAGATTTCAGGGCAGAAAGCACGGAACTCGAGATAGGTAGCAAGAACAAAGTTCTGGGATTGGGAAGCAACAGAGTTAGTTGGGGAATTCGGTTACAACGGGTTCGATGCCCCGCGCCTACACAACAGACTGCTTCTTATACTTTCCGAACTAGGCCGTCGGCCCAAGACATCAGATGGCCCAAATGAATCCATCTTCCGCGGCCCAAGCTTCATTCCTTGTTCTTTCTTCTCTTCCCGCTCATGTTTCCCTTCCGGCATATAACAGTACCCACTCCTTTAAATCCAGCTTGACCCCAAGCATCAGGATGTCGACGTCGCAAATCAAACGCTTCTTCCCAAGTCATCAGCTTTTTCGGCAATCCTGCCCACTGGACGAACAACTGAGTATGATTAGCGGTACCTGTCCTGATCAGCCGAGAATCAACT